ATGATGGCCAGAATATTAAGGTCTAAAGCCAAGATTTTAATATTATACACTGGGAAACATATACCCAGACATACAACAATATACAAACTATGACTGCAGATGGATAATGTCAGGATTTCAAAGAACTGTAATGTCAGACAAGAGACTAGGGAAACAAAGAAAGGGAACTACAGAGCTGCAAACTGAAGGGATGCCCCCAGGCAGTATGTAGATTCAGGCAAGCACTGCACAGTTCAGAGGTTTGGCAAATTAACTGAGTTTCAGGAATGGAGCTGAATGTGAGGATCCCCAGATTGGGAGAGCACAAGTGAATGACATAATCCTCAGTCAGAGAAGAAGCATTTCTTAAGCACCAGACACTTTGTGTCAAGGACTATGTACAATTCTCCCAGTGATCCTGAGAGCCAGTATCGGTAGCATTCTTTTTCTGCAGATGCAGAACTTACACTTATAACTACCTCAATAGACTTATTCAAGATTAACAGGGAATATTAGCATAACAGGAGGATGAGTAACTGCTTTCGTTCCACCACGAAATTTGTGTTGGGCAATCCCTTCACTCCTCAGATACACTGAGCCCACCTCTCCATGATACGTATCAGTATGAACAAAGTCCTTAGCGGCAGAATCAGGGTGACGATATGACTTGAGACTCCCAGTCCCTGGAATTGGGCTAAATTACCAGGGATCTAGTACAGAGCAATTTCCATGGGAATCTTATGGACTGACCCAATTCAGAACATGGAGCAGAGGGCACTGCGTGTGAGGTCCAATGGCCTCAGCTCTAAGGAATGGAAGAGGTGATAGACAGGGAAATTTAGGGAGCTGGTTCCTAAAAGCTCATCTGAGGTCAGCGCAGACATGTAGAAAACGAACAGTGAGACAAGGAGGGGAAAAGTCCTTCCCAGAAAAATCAAGGCAACAATTCAACAAAAATTGCTCTTGATCCACAAAGAATTCCCAGGAAAAGTAATGAAAATATTACTTATCAGTAGGGTAATGGCCTATTGTAGGTTTTGTGTTTTTTAAGACAAGTCTGTATAAGAGTAACGATACAAAATAGGAAATAACACAAAATAGAAGGAAGAACTTCATGGGCTTTAAGAAAGAGAGAGAGATGAAGTTTGGTGGGTAAGGAGGTGGGATGAGTTTTCTAGGAGACAGGAGATATGGGGTGGGATGAATATGATAAAATTACAGTGTGGAATTATCAGAGGATTAGTAAAAGCACTATTTTTTAAATGACAGATGCTTTTGTATTCAAAATTTTTATTGAGTGTAGCATTGTCCTCTGGGTTGAACATACCCATCTCTGTATTGGAGCAGAACTGTAGTGACCCATAAAAGAACCTCACAAGGTCAAAGTTACTAGTATTTTCTGTAGAGAGATCAGGAAAGGTCGTGGGAACATGAGAGGTTCACAGGGTCATGAGTGTTTCATGAGGTCTCTCTCCCTCTTGAAATATGAATGATCACTACTGAAGATAAAAGCAACTGATTGAGGTGGGACTTCTTTGTGATGCAGCTGCCTACAAGATACCCGAAGTCTCTGACTAGTATAGATGCTTTGAGCCGTCCATGTTCCTGTAAGAAACCACACTAAACTCAAAGATTCACTGAACGAGATTTAAATGGAATCCTTTCTTCTGTCTTTGGTCTACTGGTAACTTCTCTATCCAGGGAAGACTAGACTTTCCTTCTGTTTTCCCAGGAAAGTCCCCCAACACACATCAACAATGTTCTCTATGTGGTGATATAGATTTACTGAGATAATTCAAACATGAGTCTGTCCCCAGTGGCTGGCACCGTTACGTGCAGAAATAGGAAATCTTGTATTCATTCAGAGATAGAGCCCCACTCCATGATGCTAGACTGACTATGAACTGCTTCCTGAATTTACAGGGCTACGGGTTTAATGGCTGTATCAACAAAAATATTTTTGCCACTAGCATTTCTAACAGAAACTATTGAAGACCGGAAATATTTACTCAAAATTTGTGTAATCAAAGCTTTTAGGAAGGAATTTCCTGTGTTTGTGAAGAAGTTTAACTAGACAGTAAAGGTTTGTTTTAACACTAAGATGCTAAAAGTTTCCATTTTATGATGTTTTCCTTAACAAGCACATAGTATTTATTCCAATATTGGGTGATGAACAATGGTAGAAGTCGGTCCAAGGTGATTATAAAAATGAAACAGTATTAGAAGTACTTCCTCTTCTAGTTAAGGTCAAAACATTCGAATCTTCTAAATTCAAAAAGTAATGACGAGTGTCATTATTTCACGTCGACGGCAAAGATCATTCTCTTTCACCTCTGGTTAGCATCATGTTGACTTTTATGCTTTAGTTCACTTGTTCTCATTGTTCATTTGTAATTCTACACATAGTTCAAACTTGTAAAAAATATGTATTTTATTTTTAATCCTGTGTATACATATACGTACCAGTACTAAAGCCCATGGAGGGCAGCCCACGGAGGTTGAATCACCTCTGGAGCTGGAATTACAAGTGGATGTTAGTCTCCTGATGTGGGTGCTTGGAATTCAACTCAGGTCCTCTGGAAAAGCAATACATACTCGTAACTGCTGACCCATCTCTCCAGTCCCAACCACAGCTCAAACTTTAAAAACAAACAACAAAAACAATTCAGATGGCATCAGGAATTTTATGAGCCACCTTCAAGGAGAACCCAGAAAGCAGGATGTGATGATGCGCAGCACTGGGGAGGCAGAGACAGGAGGACTGCTAACAATCTGAGGCCAACCTGCTCTACATAATGGGTTCCAGTCTGGCTGGGACACATAGGGAGACTGTCTCAGGAAAAACAGAACAAAACAAATAGATAACTCCAAAACCCATGAGAAAGTGTCCAAAGACCACAAGTGATTCAGGGTCAGGAGCTTCAGGGTTCCAGGTACCCTCGATCTACTATGAGGCTGAGGCGACTGACCCGTGGAAATGAGTAAAATTTGTTTTTTTTAAGTATCTGCGTCCCATGAGGCTCTTACAATGTTCTTATCATTCGGCATTCAAGGTACACTACTTTAGAAACCAAATAATATCTTTACCATAGTCATTTAGATTTGATACTAATGGACAGACTGAATCCTATTTGAATCTTACCATTTCCACTTTATGAAAACACAGACTAGTTATTTTACTTCTGTGTTCCCTATACTCCCTCCATAACGGGTAATTATGAAAATTAAATCAGATAAAACTCAGAATAACAGATGTTCTATCAATGTTTTTAATTTTTTACCTGCAACTTAAGTACTTAGATCGGACAAAGGCTGATCTGGAGCTGCTTTGTGACACGGTAGACTAGACAGGGCAATTGGGGAGAGACACTGACAACTAGAATTTGGACATGGCATGATGTGGATGATTTAAAAGATGAAACTGAAATGATTTGTCTTTATTGAACCATGTACACAAAACAGAATGTCCCCAGCTTGAAATCCTCTTGATCTTGCTCTCCTTCATGCCAGCCCATCTCAACGTGCCTTGTCTGACCTCAGCTGCATCGCTGACAACAGAGTTTGGGCTCATCAGCAGGGTGAGGCCCACACAAGGGGCGGGGGGGAGGGGAGGAGGACATGGGTATTTAAGAGCTAAATGCGGAATATCATTGATTAGAAAACCATGGCAGCAATGTGTCAAAACTGATAGAAATTGTTAGAACTACCTTTGGTGTTGTAATTTTATTCCACTGTTCTCATTACAAAATTGCAATCATCTGGTATTTCTCTTAAACCTGAGTATAAAATATGTGTTCCTTGGCACTTAGCCATTTGTTGGGCTATTACTCCAAGCTTAGCTACTAAATTAAGTCACTCTTTGCACCACAATATTCCTCTTTTTTAATTTAGAGTTAATAAAAATTTTCTCCACTTAGTTTGTAGTCCCTCTGTGCCAGGGACCATATCAAAAGGGATTATATACTGAGGAAGTGATAGAGTTAAAAGTTGGTATAAAGGAGACAGGCAGGAGCTAAGTAGAAAATGTCACCCAGCTAATGAGTAGCCAGTTCTGGCTCTAGCTGATAAGATTTTAGAAACTCTGTAGATCCTGTCTCAAACTCATCTACATTCTCTGAATGATGCTAAGACTCACAGGCAATAAAAGAAGGACAGGCAGCTGTCAGAAGGAAACGATTAAAGTTCTCTATAAATATGACACCAATGGGCAAATCTGTCATCAGCATCTACACTGTATCAGAATTTTAACCTAGACAAGTGATTCCTTCTACCTGTGTCTCTCTTCTAGTGCAACGGAAACCTACAGGTATAGCGTAGTCCAAGTGTTGTTTATTGCTTAGTAACAGTCAGATTTGAAAATTGAATGGAAGAAAAACATAAAACCAGAAAGCCTAATGCTTTGCCCCTGATCAGAATCCCATGTTTAGGAGGCTTACTCCTCACTGAATTTACCTGAAAGGTAACTTTTGTAATATGTTTCTATAATATTTGTGCCGGTATATTTCATAGTCATGATGCAGTTCTGATAAAATCATGACAGAAGCCCATCTCCTCACAGTTTCAGGTCCTTCATGTCTTTCTTTTGTCATTTGGAGTCTGTGGAAGGATGACAAAGACCTACAAGACCTCGTACTATGAATGCCTGTTTCCACAGGAAATCGAGGATTCACCTCTTCCACAGCAGCCACGTCAATAAGTAGGAACAACGATCTGCCAGCTAAGTCATCCTCTTTTTAGTCTCTTTCTCTGAATGTCACTTCCTTTAAGAGATCTATAAACGGCACTTGTATTCTTAGTCCATTTGGCTCAGCACTCCCCAGAGAGAATATAAAAGGAAAAAAAAAAAATAGCATTCCCAGCCATAGACCATGAAGTGATCAAATAAAGCTGTACAGCATAAGGAAGACACAGGTGCCCATCCATCAGAAGTCTCTATACAGAAAAGAGTGAGCCTAAGACAGCGCATGAGGAAGCAGTTAGGACGGGCCCGGCTCCCTTTGTAGCTGACAGCACAGTCTTACCTTACTTAGAGATCCAAAGCCTGCAACCTCTTCATCTTGTATCAGTGCTGCAGTGGGTGGATCTCATTCTCTTCGCTCTTTGCTCTTCTTGCTCATGGTCTGAAGTTGTCAGAACCTACCACCATGGAGATGAGAAGCCCCACGGCAGAATCTCTGCCCTTATTGGCTTTCCAGACACATTCACCACAGACAAAAGCCACTGAGTTCTCACTCTAGTGAATCGACACTTTCTTTGAACGGTTCCCATGCCTACTCATGGTAGAGATGCTTGCCAACTTGGGCTGACAGAAAACAAGAAGCTGGGGGAAATATCCTTTCTCCAGACTCATTTACAACGTGGTCTTTTGATCTCAGCTCTCAGCCTGTTAAATCATAAGATTCTTCTCAAATTACCAAGTGGCCGCATGCTGCCCCCTAAATGTCGCATTGACCCAAAAGCCTCATCCACTCCTCCTGACATCCCCTGGACTGGTACAACTTCATTCAAGTGTCCTCTTCTTATGCCTGGCTTCTCTGTTACTGTGACAGCAAAGAGTTTTCTGTGCAAACACACACCCTGTCTGACTATGTAATCCTATACCAAAGGCAAACAGCCTCTTGCCCAACTTCATTTCACATGAGCACCAAGGAACTGGGTGCCCTTAGGAATACTATCAACAACCTTGGTATCAATTCCAAGGGCATTAGGTGCTCCTTGAGAAGTTGCTTTCATTTTGTGGTTGTTTTTTTACTTTCTTTACAGTTGGGACACAAGACTTGCTCAGTGTCCATTTTCAGCTCATTATGAAGGCTTACCATTTTGGATGAATTAGTCTTGGAAACGTTGACTTTTTAAAGAAATAGGTGAATGCTGGTGATTTTACTGAGATGATAAAACTGAAGGTTAGGGGTAACATGGCAGGGGAGGCTTAATGACTGATGTTTTAATAGGGGTAAATTGGGTCAAGTGCATGAACTGGTCAAGAAGATAATACATGAGGCCTGGAGTTCAGGGGAGAGATTCAGAATGGAAGTTAGAATTGCCAAGTTTTTACTCTATACTTGGGCAATTGTAACCCTGAGCACGGAGACCACACAAGAACCCAGACTCATTAGGAAAGAGAAGGATTCCGTGACTCAGGCTTGGGACAAAACCAGTTTGAGGTTGGAAAACAGGAGGAGGATCTATGAAAGGACTGGGAGAATTGTTCCAAGAACAGAACGGTGAGATGATACACTGTGGAGGTTTGACTGGGACCGGGGCATGGTCATTCCCCTCACACACTGAGAGGATCTGAAGGTAAGACCTAAGTGCTGAGCCCTGGAGTTGGCCCAGGATGGTGATGGTGACCTTGATTAGGAATGTCACAGCTCAGCCAAGGCCTGCTTAGATGCAGAAAGAACACCAGGGAGGTGAGAGGAAGCGGAAAGAGCTGGTACCACACTTTCACAGGACTCTGCTCCTAAGTGGAGTAGTAAAAGCTGGCTATGGACGGGATGCAATGTGGGACCTGCTGAGGCCCTTCTTCCTAACAAGTTCCCCTTCTGATTTCTTATACTATTTTGTGACCCACTGAGTTTAATCAAGTGTCCTAGCAGGAGCCTGCGGGGGGGGGGGGGTTAGTTCCTGGATAATTACCCAGTAGGAACACTTCTGAAAAAAAGGGTCCTCCTTCCCACAGTGGCTGTTAAGAGTCATTAGCTCCTCAGGGAGAGGCAGGGCCTCCTTAGCTATGACAGAGGTGATAATTTGTCACCCAAGATAGTGTCAGTGGATTAATTTTCTTAATTAAGCAAGTGTCTTACAATTATGCTTCTGTGTCATTTGTATTAGAATCGTTTTTTTTTTTTTTTTTTGGTAAATATGAAGTTTTCTGCTTTACTCCCATGGTTCCATTGGAAAATCACAGGGGAAAATGGAGCACTATTATTAGAGCTGTCACTGAGCTCTCATTGTGAACATACTACTAACTACTAGATTCAAATAACTGTGCAAAGAAAAAGAATAACCCCATGTACCATCTTCTATTAATTTTCTTCTATTTTTTCTATGTTTAGACAATACTTTCCTTATTTTTTCTTAACTAATCAGTGGTTTAAAGTGCATTATATAAGATAAACTAGAAGAATAAAAATCTCATAACTCTTCATTAAACATTAAAGTTATCCTAATATTGATCCATAATTTAATTACAACCTACTACTAAACTATTCGGCTGTCCATGCTTAGTGCCTATTTCTCAAATGCCAGAATAATTAATTGAACATTATAACATTAAGGGGACCTATAAGTATATAATCACTTACTTTAAGAGTGACATTAGTATGAGGACTAAGCTGTAAGTCTTGCCCTTTTTTAAACTTCAAGATTAAAAATTGAATATTCAGGGTTGAAGAGATGAATCAGCAGTTAAGAGCACTGAATGCTCTTGTAGAGGACCCAGGTTTAATTCCCAGCACCCACATGGTGGCTGACAACTGTCTTTAACTCCACTTCCAGGAGAACCAAGGACTTCTTTATCCGTCCATGGCGTTGCATTACAGGGGTGCACTGACAAACATGCAGGCAATACATTCATATACATAAAAAATTAAAAATAGAATAATAAAAAATATATTAATTGAATCGACATGATAAATTGATAAGTGCATGAAATATAGATACTGATAGAGTTTTTAAAAATTATTTTTATTTTACAAGCATGAGTATATTCCCTGCATGTATGTAAGTGTCATGCAATGCCCACAGAGGCCAAAAGAGAGCATCAGGTCTCTTGGAACTAGTGTTATGGATGGTTGTCACCTGCCATGTGGGTGCTGGGAACCAAACCCAGGTGCTCTGCAGGAACAGTCAATGTTCTTAAATGCTGAGCCATCTCTCCAGCACCATGAGGCTATGTTTTAGACAGCTTTATCTAGCACTGGTGAAGAGATACCCAAGTTTCCCTCAACAAAACAATTTTGAATGCATAGAATATCTTAGACCTGAACTTCTCAATCTTGACATTTAGTGTGAGACAATTCTTTACATAAAAATTTGTTATGACAATAAAGTGTTGAACAGCACCCTGAAACACTAACCCACTGGATCCCAAACTCCAACTGAGGCATCTACAATGTGCCCAGACATTGTCACATGACCCATGCAGAGCAAAGTTGTCCCAGGTTGAGAATCACCATTATAGACTCAAAGAACCAGATGGGTGAGCTTTACTCTCGGTTTGAATAATCACTCTATAGCAGAATAAATGGATATGCAAGATGCATAGATGACATTTTTTCAGAAAACACAATAAGATGAATTATTTAAAGAGATAATAATTATATAAATGTGTACTGAAGAAGAAAATGCTTATAATATTATCCTTACAAGGGTCTTTGGCAAAGGTTACAAAAATATGTGTTCACAATTAGAAGCTGGGTTTGAGGGAAAATAGTGATAAGTAATAAGTGATAAGATAAATAGTGATAAAGATATTCCCTAAGACCATATCTCAAATGACTAAAACATATTTTAAAAATAAAATAAAATTACTAAATACAAACTACTTTAGTGTGAGCATTGTCTTCATTAAATAAAGACTGTTGTGTGGCTAAATCTCCCTCGAGTTTTTTTAGTAGAAGAGAAAACTTAGTATTTAAGAGTTAAGAGAGGATGCCACTGAATCAATTAGAATCCCATTGGTAACTAGTTTTTTTTTTAACAACTTTGGTGTCATTTCCTTAATTTGTAAAACACATAAAAATGTCTTTCATATAGCCCAGCAGAAGCAGATGAATTAAGGTTCGCAAAGCCCTTAAAGCAGTAACACACAAAAATAAATAAGGTTTGAGTCCTTGAGACAAGAAACCAACCCGGAGACTATGGAAAGAGAGTCCTACAGGAGGGTGAATGGACAGGAGCAACATTTTCTCGGTGGTAAAACGACTGACAGATGACAAATAATACTGAAAAAACTTACACAGAAGAAGGGAGGGGCAGAGAATCTAAGGTACAATTAAATGCAAATGGAATTCGTTGATCTTCCGAAAAACTGATAATTATCCTTTTGATAATCCTATGAGAATTAAGTCATTTGTATTTAGTAATTTCACTTCATTTTGAAAATATGTGTAGGTGTTTGAGATAAGGTCTTGTGTATACTAGACTGGCTTAAAACTAACTATGTAACCAAAGATGTTTTTAAACTTCTGAGTACCTCTTTCTACCTCCCAACTGCTGGGATTATTATGTGGTTGTTGTGAATAGCACCCACAGCTTGGTTCGCTGTAAGCAAGCAAACAAGCATTCTACCAACTGAGTTATATCCCAGCCTTATATTTTGGTCATTTCAAAGAAGACAAAAATCCTGTCTACTTTTACACAGTCCCGTATAAGCAATAAGTAATGGACAGAGATATTAACTTTAACCTGATTTTCTATATCCCGTGAAAACTGGTTAGTTGAGCTGCACAGTCTCAACTCCTGCTGAAACCATCCCTTCCGGTTGACCTTAAACAAACTGAACAGGTGCCATTTTTGCTGGCCTGAACACTTCCTGTTATTCTTCTGCCTGGAGACCATAGGATGTGGAGGAAGTGTTTGAACTTGTCATCTGTAAACAGTGTCCTCCTCCCGAAAGCCTTTCCCACTACTTAAGATTCTAAAGACTTTTGCACCTTCCTGACAGGCTTCCCTTTCTTTGGCTGTGCTGAAGTAGATTATCCCAATAGATTTCGACCTCTGAATTCATAAATAAATCAGTGGTGACTTATGTGCTTCCTTTCAGATTAGTGACAATCATTTAAATTTAGAACCAAATACCAATGCTTCACACACATTTCCATCGGGATCTTTTTGTTTCTGAATTTGAATGAATTCTTTATTCAGGTGGCTGGTGTTTCTTACAGTCAGACACACATGTTATCAGACAAAGACCCTCTGAGAACTGACGGATGACCGAGTCAAGTAATGTCATGACAAGACTCAACTCATAATGTGAATTAATTCAAGAATGTATCATCTGAGCCCAACTGCTGTATCCCCAACAATTGGTGCTCAATCTCTGCTTTATAGTTTTTATGTACCTCAGTGCTTCCCACATGTTCAGTTCCTGTTTGATGATGACTCCACACAACCAAAGAGGAAGTTCTTCCTCAGCTCAGATAAAAATGTGCCTCATTGTAGCTTTC